AATCTGAAGCCAGGCGCCAGGAGCTTCTTCCAGGTCTCCTACTTGAGTGCAGGGGCCCAAGGAGCTGGGCCATCTTCTATTGCTTTCCCAGGCCATAGCAGAGAGCTGAATTAGAAGTGGAGCAGCCAGGGCTTGAACCAGCGCCATGTGAGATGCTGGCCCTGCTGGCAGCATCTTTACCTGCTATGACACAGTGCTGGCCCCTAGGAGATTTTCTCAACTGCTTGTCTCTACTCATGTATCAGTTTAAATTTTTCTTGTTATTATTATATTTAAATTCTGTAGTTCCTTCCCATTATCTGAATGATCCTTTTTTTTCTTAGAGATAATCTTTTCTTGTTTTGTGGGTGTATTATCTTCCTTTATCCCAGACTCAGAATGTTAATTATAGATTTGTCATCTTTTCTGGTTTGGCTCAACTTTTTTTTTCAAGTGTTTTATTTTGTGTTTCTTTGCTTTGAGCTCTAGTTTTATATTAAGAACTTCTTCAAATGCCTGACCTCATTGACTGTCATTGTATTCTTAAAACTGAGGCAGGCATTAGACCCATTGTTGGGAGCTTTATATGCATATTTAGGACTTCTGAGTAGGATTTTCATTGTTAGAAAATCTGGTAGGAACAGGGCAGGCTTGGGAGTGGGTTTGAGTAGAGGGAAAGGCATTAAATGATTCACTATCAATGATTTTTCCTCCTAGAGTGTTCAGTTATTCAAGAAAGGATATAATCAATCTTCTACTTATGAAGTTATATTTGTCAGCCTGAGTTCTTAGAACTGAGCAGTAGAATTTCATTATTTAAAATTGTACATTTGCACTTAGCCCATGTAAATGGTCAACATGACTCTTCCCTTGCTTTCTTGGTTCAACTCAAGCCATTTGCCTTTCTGATGCAGTTTCTTTCTAGAGAAAAAAATCTCAAACTTCTAATGGGTGGGAGAGAGACAGTAGCCTAACTATTTGGAGCTGAAGAGAGGGATCCAGAAATGTACCTGTTCCCAAATCAGAGTTTCAACAATAACTTCTGTTTGCAGCTACAGGTTCACTCTCGCTGTCAGCGGTACCAGGACTCTAATTCCTGGGACCTGCTCTGTTCTTTGACAATAACTGACCCATTTTCCTCTTTTTATGGACTTAGATTTCAACTCTCTTTGCTTGCTTGAGTCATTTACCAAATGTCCATCTGCTTCCAACCTTTTAAGAGTGTGCTGATGTCTTGTGTCTGTCATATTATCATCCATTCTCTTTGTGCTCTAGGGATTTTACAGTGTTCCATTCCATTTCAGTGTTATCTCAGAGGAAGCAGAGGTAGAACACATGGGAATATCTAGACTACCTTGTTTAACCAGGAGAGTTAGCTTTAATTTTTACTAATTACCCCTTAGAAATAATTTTAAATTGATAACATTTTGACAATCTTATGTTTAATTTTTATTTTTTCCAGTAAAATCATCTCTAGGAAAAACAAAAACAAAATAAGCAATTCCTCTTCTCCTTTCACTCACAATCCAGTTGTGTGAGGTTGTCTTAAATAGAAAGATGAACAGACATTCAGTAAGAGTTTCCAAATGGAGCAAAATTATTCTGGGCTGTCTGCACACAAATCTTTGATGTAGGCAATTACAGAAACTCAAAGAAAATAAGCAAATCAGATAATAGAAGTAATGACATTGACTCATAGTACCTCAAGCAGACATAACTCTCTCACTTACATCTGACTACTAACCTCCTTAAATTCCATGGGTAATAGCACATTTTATTATATGTCAACACTTTATTGTTTTCACCTCCTATTTAGTATGAGTAGGTTGTCAAGTCTATTGCAGAGTTTTATTTTTTTAGATAGTAAGGAAGTGACTATCCTAATGACATGACTTTTCTTTCTAATGCACTTCAACTCTTAAGAATCCTTATCTTTTCAGCCAGTCCTCCAGCCCCCTGCTGAGAGTGGGTGGGTATGTAGCAGAGTCCACTGCTCCCCCACAGGGAAGAGGAGAGGGGAGGAGGGCTTGGGAGACAGAGGAACCCTAGATGCAATGAGAACTGACTGGGGGTGGGGAGGGCCTGAGGCTTTGCGTCATTGCCCAATCTCATCTACTGCAAAGACCTGTGCGTACATGTGCCTGTGAGTGGGGATGGGGAGGGGTGGGGAACAAGCAGGGCTGGACAAGGGGACCGGTGCTGCCGCCCTCACCTGACCTTCTTGCTGTCTGTCATCTGCCAGAGTCCCAGGTTGCGTACCTTGAGGCAGAGCGGCTGTATGACATGCTCCAGGCCATGCTTGGTGATTCTGGTGCAGCCATACAGATCTATGCCAGTGAGTTGGCCCAGGTGCTCAGCGGTTAGCTCCAGGACTTTGTCTGTAATGCACACATACTGTGCAAGGTTGAGCGTGCACAGCCCATACATCATGCTGTTGATGCCATCATCACTGATGTGGCAGGAGCAGAGGGAGAAGGACTTGAGACCATCCAGCCCCTGGGCTATGTAAGCCAGACTCTGGTCCCCCACCTTGTCACCCTGAGAGGCACAGGCTGCCCATAGCCAGGCATGATGCCCGTGTCAGTGATGTCGCAAGTGCAGGTTGCGCAGGTTGCAGGTTGTGCAGGAGCAATGGGCCCGCATCAGGGATGCTCCCACAGAAGCTGAGATTGAGGAGCCTCAGGCTCATCAACCCACAGGAGATGTGCTTTAAAGAGAGATCCTTGAGTCCTGCAGTGTGAACTGCTCCAGGCCAGGCAGCCCTCAGTCATGCTGCACATTGTGCCAGCCAAGTGCCCAATGCCCACGTCCAAGAGGTGGCAGCAGCTGTACAGGTTAAGGCTCTTGAGGTGCTGCAGCCCCCAGATGAGCAGAAGGCCCGTGGTGGTGATGTTGCTGCATCCCCCCAGCTCTAGCGCCTCCAGGCCCTTGAGGTACTGGGTTACGGCGGCCCAGGCTGCTCTCACTGATCCACTTGCAAAGACTCAGGTTGAGGGCTTGAATGAGTGGCTCAGTCCGTTGTCGGTGAGGTTGTAGCAGCCGCTGAGGTTGAGTTTCTCGATGCTGGCCATGCCCTAGATCATGTAGCTGAGGCTGCCACATAGTATTTTGTATGAATTGAAGACTGCATAGCCATTCCTTTAATGTCAGTGGAAATATACAACATTAATAGTAAGAAAGTAAAGAGAGTCCTAGTATCTAGGAGCTACCACAAAGATGCTAAGCAGTAAAAGGCGAAAGATTTATACGATCTGAAGAGAAACCAGAGTATAAAAGATGCTAATCAATTGTTAGAACCATCTAGATGAATTTTTGCAATAAACTTTGGGTGTCTTGACAGTACTTGTCAGTTTTTTCCATGGTTAGTGACATCAGTTAATTGAAAACATGTTACAGGAAATGCAGATGCTTGTTTTAACAAGTAAATGCAGTGTGGCCTGTGGTAGGTCTGTTTGCAAACACTGCATGTTCTTAAGAAGTCAGAGAGAGAACAAGTTTAAACATGGGTGTATATCAAGTACCAGTGAGGCTCAGAAGAGATTTTTTTTGTTTGTTTTTTCCTCTCCAAGAAAGGATTTTCCCACATATCTAGTAGATTTGTCCATTAATATAGCATTTCATTAACAGTTTTATTCAACATTTAAGTGTGCATGATAGAAATTTTCCTTTGATCTCTACCACCTCCATGAATTCAATCACCACTTATTTACTGGTGATGTTCAAATATGCCAATATAATTCTGACTCCTTTTCTAAATTTCTAACACATTCTAAAGAATTGTCCTGAGCTATCTCATACTCAACAAATGCATTAAAATCCAGCAAGTCTAAAATTTTCCTAACTTCTTTAACTTAATAGGCCTCTCTTCTATGCAGTCACCTAAATTTAAAATTTTCTCATATTCCACTACCAAACATACTTCTTGCAACAATGGCCACTAAATATTTCTCAAGTGCATGCGTGGATCTATTCTCAGTGGTTTCTTTTTCTTCTTCTCTTTGATGGTTAAGTAAGGTCTAGCCACTCTTACTCAAATCCTCTCCCAAGGCAAATCCCCTTCTCTTGCCTGGACTTTGTTTAATATAGATCCTCAAGCCTCCCAACACTTCTGTCTCTGCCATCAAAACCATCTGCATTCCTGCAGTACAGGTTTGTTCATATTGTAACTTGGCTCCAAGACATTTACGTTCTCCCTTTCATCTATAAAACAACATACTAACTTCTCCTCTTGACTCTGCATGATTACTGGCTCCTTTTTCTCTGGCCATTTTCTCCTGACTGTGAGTCATACAGTTCCATTTTTGATCCCACTGTATGATTTAATGGCTCCATTCTGTTGATTTGATTATTTCTGGTGCTGGAATGTTTCTTCCTCCTATTCTCTAGTCTGCTCAAAGTGTGCACATCCTTTAGCTCCAAATTCAAACATCTTCCAGGCCTCTAATGAAAAGTCATCTATCCCTTCTCAAAGTTTTGATGTTACCTTTTGCTCACACTTCTGCTGTAATACATAGTCCAGTAATTTAACAGTCTGTTCATGGCATCTGTCTCTCTCTGAAGTCCTAGAAGGCCCTACTCTCACATTTAGATAGTGTCTTGCCTGCAGTAAATGCTATAGAAAGTGTTTGTGATTGGCATGAAATTAAAGCCATATGCATGATTATTATTGAGAATTACACATATATTTCAGGAGATACAGAAAAAAAAATAACATGGAAACCAGAAAGACTTTAGTATTGAGAAGAGCCTGATAATATTTTTAAAAATTGCAATCCATGATGTGATATGAACTCATCTTTCAAAAAAAAAGTCCCATTTTGATGAACAGATGTTCACTAAAAAATAAGACTTTCATTAGAGAAGCAGACCCCACCTTACTCTGGAGCCAGCAGTGCTGGTTCTGCCTCTTTGTTTCCCAGCAGAGCCTTTGGGCCAGAAGCCGCCTGGGCAGTCTTCAGGCCAGTGGCATTCATTCTTTCATCTTTATTCACTGGGCCTGTTTTTCCCATCTCCCCTTCCAGGTGTCACGAGGAGAGGAGCTGTAATAACACCAGTGCTTCAGATGAGATAATGTGCTGCTGTAGGAGAGGAGCATTCCAGCTTCCCCCTGGAACCCTTTCATTTTCTTCCAGTACCTCTGCGGTAACATGATCCTCTCTGGAATGTTCTGCCCTCTCCCTCTGGTGTGTGTTCCTCTTTCTGGGAGTGGGGATCAGAGAGGAGGAAGAAGCAGACTCTTTTTGGTTTCTCCTTCACACCTCCGGTTTCCCCATTATGAGAGTCTGTCCTGCCATGGCCCCACGTGTAGTGTGCCAACTGAGTGGCATTGACTGTGATAGCTTGCTGTAACTGAATTTTAATTGTACATGGCAAAGACCCCTTGCTAGTTTAGAGAAACCCACTATACAGGTTTGCTTTCTTTTAGTGAAGGCATATTTTCTCCAATTATCAGAGAATAAAGAGAGGCCAAATCCCAACCTCAATCTCACTGCAGACTTACCATATAAGATGGTACTAATTACACTTACCTAGCCAATGGTAATAGGCTCCAATCCAGCAGAGGAATCTCTTTTTTATTTTATTTTATTTTTAAAGATTTACTTCTTTATTTGAAAGACAGAGAGGCAGAGGCAGAGAGAGAGAGAGAGAGAGAGAGAGGTCTTCTATCTGCTGGTTCACTCCCCAAATGGCTACAAGGGCCAATCCAAAGCCAGGAGCTTCCTCTGGGTCTCCCACGTGAGTGCAGGGGCCCAAGCACTTGGGCCATCTTCTACTGCTTTCCCAGGCCAAAGCAGAGAGCTGGATGGGAAGAGGAGCAGCCAGGACTTGAACCAGTGCCCATATGGGATGCCAGCACTTCAGGCCAGGGCTTTAACCCACTGTGCCACAGTGCTGGCCCCCAGGAATCTCTTTTTTAAGAACTCTTTATTTTATGTATATTAAAAATTATTTATTTATAAATAAACAAATTGAGAGGCAGAGTTATAGACAGAGAGAAGGAGAGAGAGAGAAAAAGAGGTCTTCTACCTGCTGGTTCCTTCCCCAAAATGGCAGCAACAGAGCTGGGCTGATTCAAATCTAGGATCCAAGAGCCTCCTTCAGATCTCCCATATGGGTGCAAGGGTCCAAGCACATGGGCCAACTTCCAGTGCTTTCTCAGGCCGTAAGTAGAGAGTTGGATTGGAAGGGGAGCAGCCAGGACATGAACCGGTGCCCACATCAGATGCTGGCACCGTGGGCTGAGGTTTAACCTACTACACCACTGTAATGGCTCCAAAGAAATCTTTATTAAAAGAAAAATTATAAATATATACCAACCAGAGTCAAATGTAAATATTCATATGTAACCATTTCCAACCTCAACCATGATTATTTTTATAGCCAATCTGTATTCCACTCTTACACCCTGAGATTATTTTGAAGCAAGCCAGACATGGTTATGTCACTCATAAATATTTTAAGCATGTATGTAGGAATCTTATTAGCAATATTGTTAAAACAGTTTACCTTTGATTAATAAGCTTTCTACGTCACCTGGAATACATGTTTTATTATCTCAAAAATTGAGAAGTATATGAGCCTTCTCTAGTACTTTACATTTGTAAAACTTCCATGGAGAATTGGATTGTGTGAACTAGTGTTATCCCGTGATTAATCTATTCTGTACACAATAGCACTCAGGGTGCAGGAACGCCCCTACTTTGGTCACCTAGTAACTTTTCACTGTCAACAACAAGCTGAATAAACAATTATATAGCAGGAAAGTGCTTGGCTAGCTAACTTGGATCATCTCCTAGAGTTTAGGAGAAAGAACCACCACTGAGTTTGAATTTCTAGAATTCTTTTAGGCTTTGCAGGCAGAAAAGAAACATACAACTTTCAGAGCGTGAAATGGATATGGAAGACATGGGTTCAGGTAAATTAGGCCAAATCTTGAAGCAGATTTGGAGACAAAACTGGATGCTAAAGCAGGCGCTCCTGGGTGATGGCCTCTGTGAGAGGGCTGGTGGGGCCACTTGGATTGCCACAGTGGTCTTTCTGGGTCAGGAGCTCAGTGTGGCGCTTCAACAGCTGTTGGAGCACACTGCAGGGACTATGCACGCCACCTGTGAGCAGCTGTCTTTGATGCTCGACAAGAAGGATCAGTGTGGCTGGAGACAAGGCAAGTGTGTTTTATTTTATTATTTTCTAATAGATATTGAGTAGGATGATATCCAAAAGGGTCTATAAGCATACAAAATGCTAGGGTATACTTTCTGGTCATGAGAAACTCACAGTGTAACGGGGAAGTAAGTCAAATGAACGGTAGTGCAAGGGGCGTGGAGGCCATTTCCATTAGAGACTAATGATGAAGTGCTTTTGGACATCAGATGCAGGGAGATGCCATTTTTAGGGTGGGGAATTGAGAATTTTGCTAAACAAATATGGTATTTAAGCTGAAGCTCAAAGAATGGATTGGCTTTATGCAACTAGAAATTGGAAGTCATAAGGTATTATTAGTACAGTCTAAGATTTAGAGGTAGGAAAATATAGGCCTAGTTTGAAGCAGAGCAAGGAGATCTATATTGAATATAATATTCTATCTCTCGAGTTATTTGAAGTTGGACCTATTAAATGTAAAAATGCTGAGAAACTGAAGTGCTCTAGGATAGAGGCCAAATAATAGGCACCTGGGAAATCCTCCAAAGCAGCAAGTTCCAGATATCATCTGGGCTCTGGAGAGGTTTGAACATGGTCCCAGGCGACATGGCAAAAGTATCACTCAGGGAAAATAAGGACTCAGGTAGTAAAACAGGCATCTAAAATAAAGATAGGGTCTCAGGCAGCAGAGGGTAAAAAGAAGTTATTGGAACTGGAAGCTACAGACAAGCCTAGTCTAGTAAAAGTATGATTTGGTGATGATTCTCAACACACCAAGCTATGGACCTTAAAAAAAATCTCATATTTCCTACTTCGGACTTGAAGTTTAAACATGGGAGAGGTGTTGAAGACTGCAATTAGTTATCAGGTGACATAGATGTAAGGTAGAGAGAGATCAACTAATAGGAGATTGTTAAAAAATGGAGATGGAGTGAGAAGTTCTGTCAGAACAGATCCTAGTGAAGGCTTATATTAGAGTGAAGAGGCTTGGCTTGATTCACAGTTTTTAAAGAGCCACTGCAGATTCCAGTCAGGAAATTGGCATCCTCAGAAACATTCTTTGAAAGACTGGTTTGAAATTGTCTAATGATCATAAATTCAGTAGGAGGAATAGTATGAATGCAATCCAACTCACAGCAGCAAACTATTTCCTAGAAACAAAGCATCTATATTGGCAGAAATAGCTATCTGTTGTTTCTGCTACCCAGGTCTCATTTGGAGATTTGCAGGTAGTTTTAGGTCCAGCATTTTAAATGGATAATAGATAATCGATTAACTTTAACCAGAAGTAAAGGAACAATTCTCAAAGTCATACCAATGAGGAACCATTGAAGGTGATGTTGGTTTCAGTTCTTACAAGGGGGAGGAGTCATGATATCTGTCTTCAGATATTCATGTCAGTTTTATGAGTCATAGGGATTAGATTTACTCATCACTAGTATTTAAAAAGTACATATTAAAAATACATAGTTCCCTATTCCTAGAAGCGTTAAAAGAACAGCAGTTGTATAAATGACATCTCTTTCAGTAGGTTGGCTTAAATGCCAATAAGGGTATTTGCTGGTTTCTAAGATCAGCTTGCCATACGTCTTTTTGTGTCAGTACAAAAACATAATTTTGTTTAGTTTTGTGTTTATTCTTTGTGTGCATGTGTGCATGTGCAGAAATTGTTACTTTCATAGACTGCCTGATGAAAGTAAAGGAACATTTGGGGAGCACTGCTTTATTTCTAAAGAAAGAAGAGAAGGAGATGTGTAATTTATGCAGCATGCATGATGAATGTACTCCACAGCAAACAATGTCCACCATTCAAGATACCAAAGCAACAGACATTGCTGCAAGAGGGGAACTAAATGCCATAGAAACAGCCACTGTTTCCCCTACAAATGGAGAGGAAAGCCATTACACAAACCAGGTCCAGTTTAGCACAAATAAAGCACATATAAATTCAGAATTACTGGAAGAAGAAAACAATGCATCACTGAATGGAAATGTAACAGAGAAAGAAGAGTCTGAGAACAAAATGTTATCAGATAATGCAGAAAATGAAGATGATAAACAAATAGAACACATGACTATTGAGAACCTAAATGGCAGCAGGGAAAACATTCATGATGTAATGCAGGCAACAGAAAGAGAAATTCATGAGACTTCAGAGAGCCAAAGAGAAGAGATTACCACATCCTCAACAACATGTGATATCTCCAGCAATGATGTGAATAGACTTCCAAAGGATTCAGAGAGTCTAAAGCAAAAGAATAACACAATGGAAAAGGAGTAAGTAAATGCAACATGAGAAGTGCTTACATATGCCTACTTATATGTGTGTTTCTATAGTTAGTACTCATCTTAGCCTGTTCAGGCTGATATAACAAAATGTCATACACTGGGCAGCTTTTTTTTTTTTTTTTTTTTTTGACAGGCAGAGTGGACAGTGTGAGAGAGAGACAGAGAGAAAGGTCTTCCTTTGCCTTTGGTTCACCCTCCAATGGCCGCCGCGGCCGGCGCGCTGCGGCCAGCGCACCGCGCTGATCCGATGGCAGGAGCCAGGAGCCAGGTGCTTTTCCTGGTCTCCCATGGGGTGCAGGGCCCAAGCACCTGGGCCATCCTCCACTGCACTGCCTGGCCACAGCAGAGGGCTGGCCTGGAAGAGGGGCAACCGGGACAGAATCCGGCGCCCCGACCGGGACTAGAACCCAGTGTGCCGGCGCCGCTAGGCGGAGGATTAGCCTAGTGAGCCGCGGCGCCGGCCTGGGCAGCTTTTAAACAGCATAAATTTATTTTTCACAATTCTGGAGCCTGGGAAGACCAAGAGCAAGGCGTTGGAAGATTTAGTGTATGATGAGGTACTTCTGGCTCATGTTTTTGCAATGTTCTTACCTGATGGAATGGGTAATGAAGTCCCGTGGACCTATTTTATAAGTGCATAAATCTTATTCTGCCTTCATGACATAATTAGTTTCGAAGAGTCCACCTTCTAATTTTATCACCTCAAAGGTTAGGATTCCAACATATGGATTTTGAGTGGATATACCATTCATACCATAGCAGTATACACAGTATTTGTTTATGAATAAAATTTTATATTTCCATGACATATTATCAAAAGATATTCTAGGCCGGCGCGTGGCTCGCTAGGCTAATCCTCCGCATAGCGGTGCCAGCACACCAGGTTCTAGTCCCGGTCGGGACGCCGGATTCTGTCCCGGTTGCCCCTCTTCCAGGCCAGCTCTCTGCTGTGGCCAGGGAGTGCAGTGGAGGATGGCCCAAGCCCTTGGGCCCTGCACCCCATGGGAGACCAGGAGGAGCACCTGGCTCCTGCCATCGGATCAGCGCGGTGCACTGGCCGCAGCGCACCAGCCGCGGTGGCCATTGGAGGGTGAAACAACAGCAAAAGGAAGACCTTTCTCTCTGTCTCTCTCTCTCACTGTCCACTCTGCCTGTCAAAAAAAATAAAAAAAAAATTTAAAAAAAGATATTCTAAGTCAAAATTCAGTTTAAATTATCCCTGGAAAGACTTACATGGCTGTTAGTACTAATATTGTTTATTTCTTATTGCTTTAGGAGACAAATATAATAAATGTCTTTTTAAAGAGGAAGGAATTGACTAAATAAGAAAGTAGTTCAATTGAATAATTCTTTAGAACAAAGAGATTATCATAGGTTTTTATGTTTTGAATTAAATATGAAAAAAATATGGGACTACAGAGTGTTAAAAAGTTGAGTTCTAATCAGATATATTTCATTTATATTCTCAAGAAAATCATCATTAGTTTTTAACTTGTATCTATAGAACTCTAGGGGCTCATGGGTAAGCTCTGGGAAGTTCTTAATATCAGGTGTGGGTGCTCAGATTTATTTTATCTCTTTGGAGAAGCCAGAGTTTCAGTGAAAATCTCTTAAGAGCTCATGACTTCAAATATGTGAGAAAGCCTGGTCCATTTTATTTATTTATTTAGTTAGTTTAGTTAGTTACTTTTAAATTTATTTATTTATTTGAAAGGCAGAGTTACAGAGAGGCAGAGGCACAGAGAGAGCAAGAGGTCTTCCATCTGCTGGTTCACTCCCCCGATGGCCACAATGGCTAGAGCTGTACCTACATGATTCCCGGAACTTCTTCCTGGTCTCCCACGTGTGTGCAGGGTCCCAAGCACTTGGGCCATCTTCTACTGCTTCCTCAGGCCATAACAGAGAGCTGGATGAGAAGTGGAGCAGCCAGGACTTGAATTTGTGCTCATATGGGATGCTGGCACTGCAGGTGGCAGCTTTACCTGATATGCCACAGCACCTTCCCCAGTCTGATCTATTTTATAAATTAGCTCCTCTATACAAAGAGGCACTAGTTCCCTATTTTCCCAGGTAAAATAATATATTCACAAATCATATTTTCCCAGTTAAACATAACATATTTATGTGGCAATGGACTATAGTTACAAATAAATCATTTGTTGGGGGAATCATACAGATTTAAATTTTTTGTCATTTTAGTATATGATAGTTCTGTGACCCTAGGCAACTTGATTCCTTTCTTAACCTCATCTTCTTTGTTGTAGAAATGACATATGTTTACTGGGTTTATCTGATAAAAGTAACAAAAAAAAAAGTCCTGTAAAGGGCCCCAGCTTCCTGCCTCTGCAGCTGTTCACACTCAGCTGAAGAATCCTGTGTTAGTTTACATCACCAGCACAACCCTCACTTTCCCTCCCTCCCACCTCTATCATACTTTACTCACCTCTTTCTCTGCCACATGTTGCTCCTCCTTCAGATGTCAAATACCATTTCCAGGAAAACACCACTAACAGAGTTCACCATGTTCAGCAAGTCATTTTTCTCACCTTGACTTTAGTTATCATATCTATAAAATTAGAAGGTTAGGCTAGTTTAGCTATGATGTCCCCACAGGTCAGACAAACTCATGAATCCTACAGATTATGTTCAGTGTATGATAGACCTCTAGTTTGTAAGAATTGCTGCCTCTGCAAAACAAGCAAAAACCAAAAAGCTACTTAAGTAGTCAATATGTGGTTATCCATTTCAGTTGAGCAAAAACATCAACACTTCATGTCCTTGCATTCAGAAATGACTCAAAGTATCAGCTAATGAGTCATTGCTTGAACCACTCCCTCTAACACCTCCTTTGGGTGTTCCCTGGTTGGTGATTTCCTCTTTGTGGCATCCAAACCAATTGTGCTTGGCTTGCATATTTAAAATGACTGTCCATTGCATTCCCTCAAGGTGGAATCCAACATGCTACATAAAAGATATATGCATCAACAAAACCTTGCTCAGAGCCTGTTGTGGGTCCCACATGGAGAGGTTTCAGAAAGAGGCCTAACTCTTCTAGCTTAGCTCTCGTAGTGTGCACATGAAGGCAAAACAAGACCGGCATAAGTCACTGTGGTTATTTCATCATCTAGACTGCATCTATTTGATTAGGGCTAGAGAGAATGGAACTACTTAAAGGTCTCCTTGCTCTACTTCACTATCTTTTGAGAACCATACCTCCTGCAAAAAGAGCATATTTAGATGGTTTCCGGAGAACAGAGGGGAGCCATTCCTGGAGTTAAGCAATGCTAGGTCACTCTATCTGCTGTTATACAGTGTTTCTCCTTTGTTGAGTTATTGTTAATCATCATCAACAGAGAATACTCAAGAACAATGGACTGGGCCGGCGCCGCGGCTCACTAGGCTAATCCTCCGCCTGCGGTGCCAGCACCCCAGGCTCTAGTTCCAGTTGGGGTGCCAGATTCTGCCCTGGTTGCTCCTCTTCCAGTCCAGCTCTCTGCTGTAGCCCGGGAGTGCAGTGGAGGATGGCCCAAGTCCTTGGGCCCTGCACCTGCATGGGAGACTAGGAGGAAGCACCTGGCTCCTGGCCTGGGATCAGCGCAGCACGTCAGCCATAGCGACCATTTTGGGGGGTGAACCAACAGTAAAGGAAGACCTTTCTTTCTGTCTCTCTCTCTTTCACTGTCTAACTCTGCCTATCAAAAACAAAACAAAACAAAAAGAACAATGGACTGGGTAATTTTCTATTCCTTCTAACTTTATGAGTTCAGAATTACAAATAAATGGCCTTTTATGAATTTTAACATATTTTTAGGATTTTATATTACAGTGACTCCAAAAATCTATCTTCCAGTGATTGAAAAGCAGATGTAACAGTTATTCTAGAACTGGCAATTTCCTATATACATATTTTAATCATTTCAGTGTTATGAAAAGAGAAGTAGTAAGATGCTGAGAAACCTATTGATAATTTTAATTAGAGATTTAATATTTATTGAGCTCTCATTACAACCCACTTTTTGTAAAATTTCAGCATTTTATCTCAACCAAATTTCATAATAGTTTGAATTATAAAGTAGCTTCAATTTTTAGTGGACAGTCACCAGTACTTTAGAATGACTTGACAAAATATAAACAGTTTTTGAAGTTTTTTTATTTATTTGAAAGGCAGAGTGACAGGGTGGAGGAGGGAAGGAGAGAGAGAGGAGAGGGAGAGAGAGAGAGAGACTGTGTTTGGCATTTCATATTAAAGTAGATGGACTTAATTATTGATTCTAAAATGTTCTATCGATAGGACTTTTAGCAAGTCAAATTTATGAAGCCTCAGTTTTTTTATTTGTATTATGGCGAGGATAGTTGTACCTGCCCAATACAATACTGTGATTATTTAAAAAAAAAAATGTGTAGCCTAACACTTGGTCAATAGAAAGCACTAAAGCATTAGCTACTTTAAAAGTAGTTACTAATATCTAAGGTCAAGTAAATAGTGACTAATTTCAAGTTTGAATTCAAATCTACATAATTCTAAAATGTTTGGCAAAGATCATTGTATAAAAACAAGATTAACATGAATGCTGAAAAAAGCTTCTGGTTGATTCTTTGACAATTGTAAATAATCTGTCCTTAATTACAAAGTTTAATCATAAATTAGCAGTTAATCATAAATTAACTTTGTGCCTTTTCTTACTGTTCTAAAAATGTAATGAACATCATTGTCTGATATATCATACAATTACAGTGAGTTGAGTAGATTACTCCTTTCACAACTAGGAAACTGTTAAGGTATGAATGCTTGTTTATAAAGAGGATTCAGCAACATTTAGATTCTTACTGTGGAGTGAACAAAACTGAAGTTAAATCAATCACTTAAATAATAGCAGCAGTAACAACAGTGAGTATAGCTAACATACACTGTGTCACCTATTATGTACTAAGCATAATTCTTTGTAAATATGTAATATACCATAGAACTTTAATTTTCCCCATTTTCCTGGGAGATAGCTATTATTTCGTCACTATTTCACAGGTGAAGAAACTGAGGCACAGAGAGGTTGAATGTCTTATCCAAGACCACAGGTCAAACAGGGAGAGATCTTAGGTTCAAATGAAGACAGTGCATCTCAAGAGTCTGTGCCCTTCTGCAAATAGCTATAGAGAACATAAATCAAATGACTGGAAAATGATGTTCTGTTTTTTCCTTCAGGTATCTTGAAGTGCTAAATGATGAGACTGACGCCCAAGTGTCTTGTTATATTACGGCACCATCAAATGTTCTGCAACAACTAGTATGCCGAATAATTAATAGCATGAGTTCTTTAATAGTGAGTGATAATGAAGAGTTGGTTAGCAACATCATTTCTGTTGAGTGCTCAGACAAGGAAATGAAAATTCCATTTCCAATATGCATCACAATTCCATTTGCTGCGCGTTACAGGGGAAATTACAGAGACATAATGGTGAAAGTGTCTGATATAAACCTTCAATCAAGTTACCTAACCCCAAATTCACTGGAAGGAATAAGAGGTCGTTACAAGGTAGGTAAATCTTTGGCTACATCTACATTAACTGTTTGACTCCTCTTTTAAATATTACTCAGACCAACAAATTATAATACAGATATTGCTTCATTGTCAAGAAGTGGGAGAGATGATGGATTTGTGCCAGTACACTCACGTTTTCCCGTTTTTTTTTTGTTTGTTTTTTGTTTTTTTTTGGTTTTTTTTGCATTCATAAATATCAAAGAGGAGAAATTAGTGACCAAAGTTAAGCATAGAAAACATGGGTCTAGAATACAAATCAATATCACAGCTTAATTTGCTGCAAACTTCAGACTTCCTTTAGACTGATATTTCTGATGTTGGATTCCTGCCTACATTTAAGAATGTTAGAACTTTCAGATGACAGTAGCTTTATTTTTATCACTCATGAGTTAGGAAACATGTAAAAAGTGGAAAATTGTGTGGTGTGTGTGCTTTGATATGGTAATTATGTCTGTAAATCCAATTTAATCTGCACACGGATGATAGTATGTATGGAAGTTAGGATGTGGGCAGTGGTGGAAGATCAGTTGCATTTGAAATCTGCTTCCTCTTCTTTCTTGCACACTAAGAAACCTTACTGTGTCTCAATTGTTTGTCTGAAAAATTTACACCATAATAGTGAATATCTGATGGGAATATAAGAATTAACGCAACTAGAGGCCATTATGTTACTGAAATTAGCTGGTCCCCAATACACAAATATGTTTTCCCTGAGTTGTGGCAACTAATATATAGAATACAAGAAATGAAATGTGTATGAGCAAAATTGACATTTTCAGATTTAATTGTCTACAACCCTTGTTTATACTGTTGAGGAAAAGTTATTTTTCTACTTACTACTTGTTGAATTCTGTATTTAGTGGAGGGTTAAGCTTGTGATTTTAAAGAAAATTGAAAATATGTCATTATAAAAATTAAAAGAAAAATAAGAAGAGAAGGAGGAATGGTGGGAATGAGGGAGGGGAGGGTAGGAGGTATTATTATGCTTTTAAAACTGTATAAATGAAATACATGAAGGTTGTTTCCTTTTTATAAATAAAAAAATTAAAAATGATTTCTCATCATTTCTCTCTCTTTCCCTCCCTCCCTCTTTCTCTCTTCTTCCTTTTCTCCTCTTTTCCTCCCTTTCAAGTAAAATAAAAATAAATAAATAAATTTTAAAAAGAGCACACATTTAAGAAGATGAAATAATGCCTAGAAACACATAATTGTTAGTAAATTATCTTTTCTCATCATAGAAAATTTTCATTTTCTATGGTCACAAATTCATATGCTGTGAAGAGAAAATATGCACAATCATTAAATTTATTACTATAGAATTGATGGAGATTAACATTTAACATTCTTTTGTGGACCACTAAACGTATTTTCAAACAATTAAAGTAGTTGTCTTTTTCATATTTATGTAAATTGTTCTTATTTGATGAATAGGCAGGGAGTACATGGAAAAACATTCCATGGATGAAAAAAATTCTTATAATACATGTGTTCTTTTGCTGAGTAGCTAGCAAAGTTATATAGTTGAATTCCATGCAGATTCTAATTACTTACTCCATTTATTAAACTAATATATTTCATGTTCAGTCCAGGAAGCATATAATAGTCCCATCAGCATGGACCAGATGGCTCAGGGTACATCTGCTTTTCACAAAATAAGACTTTTAGAAAGTAGATCATCAAAGCAAGAGATAAAAAAGAGAATCATTGTCTACTATAAAAATAAAGGCATGTATTTTTACTTTTCATAGTATCTCAATGGTGGTTATCCCTAGTTTTAGCTCAGGAAGATTTAAACTCTGAATCTTGTGAATTTTTATGTGAGTCTTATGACATTTAAACAATCTAATTCTTTTTTTTTTTTTTTTCTTCTTTGACAGGCAGAGTGGACAGTGAGAGAGAGAGACAGAGAGAGAAAGGTCTTCCTTTGCCGCTGGTTCACCCTCCAATGGCCGCCGCTGCAGCCGGCGCACCGCGCTGATCCTGGCAGGAGCCAGGAGCCAGGTGCTTTTCCTGGTCTCCCATGGGGTGCAGGGCCCAAGCACCTGGGCCATCCTCCACTGCACTCCCTGGCCATAGCAGAGAGCTGGCCTGGAAGAGGGGCAACCGGGACAGAATCCGGCGCCCCGACCGGGACTAGAACCCGGTGTGCCGGCGCCGCAAGGTGGAGGATTAGCCTAGTGAGCCGCGGCGCCGGCCGTAAACAATCTAATTCTTAAATACCCTTTTGATTCCCCACTCTTTGCCAAATATGATCTAAATATGTAGCAACCTCCATGGGTTCTCAGAAGACCTTTCTTACCTTTCATGATTTCCTTTCTGACCAATAAAGAAAATTCATGCCTGAATTTTCCCACTGATGAATTCATGCAGTGACATTGCAAAATCCCTTCATTAGTCAGCTTTCAAATGATAGTTTGTTTTCCATTGTGATTGTCTCTGAAACTGTGTGTGTGTCTGCATGATCATCCACTCACGCTAGGGTGGAGGCCGACTGGTGTCTGGGAAAGCATGAATAGACCAAAGTACTTCTAAGTCTGCCTCCTCATTTTAAGCTTTGGTGATTATACATGTCGATGATTTTGTTTTCATTTATGTACTGAGTTCTCTTTTGTGTGATTAAAAAAGCTTGAATATGGGCCTGCATGTATGATTACAAATTTAAATGTCATTATATAAAGAAGAAACACAAATGTGTTTCTTTGTAGTCATTTGTTTTCACTGCACAGTGGAGAAAAAAAAATAGCTTTATTTTGGTTCTTCAAAGATTATGAGTCATCAGGAGGAAGAATTTGCCAGCAGTACAGGTGCTATAGTATTTGATTAAACTATTCTAGTCCTTGGGGTTCTCCAGAACAACGTTGAATGTGCTGCATCATAGTCAAGATTTAAAATCCAGGGGCTGGCATTGAGGCTGGAGGGGGAAGCTGCTGCTTGGGATGCTGGCATCCCATATGGACCCTGGTTCAAGTCCCAGCTGCTCCGCTTCTCATCCAGCTCCTTGCCAATGTACCTGGGAGAGCAGTGGAGGGTGGCCCAAGTGCTTGGGCCCCTGCCATCCATGTGGTAGACTTGGAAGAAGCCCCTGGCTCCTGGCTTTGGCTTGGCTCAGCTCTAGCCACTGTAGCCGTTTGGGGAGTGAGTCAATGCATGGAAGATCCACTGGATCTCAGAAACAATATTTGTGAAAACACTGATGTGGTTGTCTATTATACATTTTGGGGGGGAGGAGATATAATTTAAGTTTAAAAATTCATGCTTCTATTTTTTTTCTCTCATGGAGTCTCAATCTGAAAAATTCTGACTCATTTATTCCTATCTTATCTCATTAAAAGATTGTCCACTTTAGGAGCCAGCTCCGTGGCTCACTTGGTTAATCCTCCGCCTGCCGCGCTGGTATCCCATATGGGCACCCGGTTCTACTCCTGGCTGCTCCTTTTCCAGTCCAGCTCTCTGCTGTGGCCCAGGAAGGCAGTGGAGGATGGCCCAAGTGCTTGGGCCCCTGCACCAGCATGGCAGACCAGGAAGAAGCACCTGGCTCCTGGCTTTGGATCCGCGCAACGCCGGCCATAGCAGCCATTTGGAGAGTGAACCAACGGAAGGAAGACCTTTCTCTCTGTCTCTCTCCCTCACTGTCTATAACTCTACCTGTCAAATAAAAAAAAAAAAGAAGAATTAAACTATTTTAAAAAAAAGATTGTCCATTTTAGATTAAGCAAATCATCATTCCAGGTTGTCGGTGATTATATTGACAATATATTGATTTTTCCCACAGGCCACAGAGTATGCACAAATTATAATACTTCACAGCATAGTACAATTGCTTTTTAAATATCCTTTAATCCATACAGGGCACCTGCGCTGCAGTGAAGGTTTACAAATTAGGAATCTTTTCTGTGGTGTCTTGTTTAAAGAAAGAATCCTTCACAATCACAAAGAAAGGCTTCACTCTGAAGTCAAGCCTGGATCCCCGAATATCCTTAAATTATCCTCCCAGTGTTTTCAGCTCAACAGTACTTGTACAATTAAAGGTAAAATATTAAAAATTGTTGAGTTCCTTCTCATTGATTTGTGGGTTATTAATCATGATCCTCAAAGGCAGAGAGGATGAAAATATTTAATATAACAATAAGCTGATTCTTCTTTTATACTTGTAGTGAACTAAAATACGATGATATCACTGATAAAGTAATTATTTTAGTGTGTTGAATCTTATTCCAAAATAAATTTGTGCTCTATTTGAAAGACTTTCCTCAGGGTGGGTATTGTGGCAGTGTGGGTAAAGGTGCTTCCTGCAATGCCAGCATTCCATATTGGTACTAGTTAGAGTCCTGGCCACTCCATTTCCAATCTAGCTCCCTACTAACAGCCTGAGAGAAGGAGTAGAAAATGATCCAAGTACTTAAGTGCCTGCCACTCACCTGGGTGGCCCAGATGAAGCTCCTGGTTCCTGGCTTTGACCTGGCCCAGCCCTGGCCACTGTGACCTTCTTTGGAGTAAGCCAGTAAGTGGAGGATCTCTCTCTTTCTCCCTCTCTCTCTGTAATTATGACTTTCAAATAAATAAATAAATCTTAAAAAAAGTAGAGAAATGCCTTCCTAGATAGTGTTTTGTTTTGTTTGATTTTTGGCATTTATTGCTAAAAACATATACCAAGTATCTATGAAAGAAATGATCACAGATTGCAGAAATTCACACAATGCAAGGTTTCTATTTGAAAGGTTGAAAAAAAAAAACAGTCTAATCCAGCAAAAGAGTGGTTATTGTTTGTATCTGGCTACTTTTAATAGTGAAACTACATGGGCTGGTGCTATGGCATAGAAGACCAAGTGCTTGGGCCCCTGCACCAGTGTGGGTTACCCAAAAGAAGCTCCTGGCTCCTGGCTTCGGATCGGCTCAGCTCTGGCCATTGTGGCTATTTAGAGAGTGAACCAGTGGATGGAAGACCTTTCTCCCTATCTCTCCCTCTCTCTCTCTGTAACTCTACCTCTCAAATAAATAAATAAAAATTAAAAAAATAATGAAACAACATTTTTGGAATCCGGATTTAATATATACAAATACTCACTATATACCAATGTACATTTTAGATTAGAAGATTCATTTCCTCAAATAAGACTGCCTGTCCTTCTAGCTTCAACTGTTCCCCTCTACTCTCTCTCTCTGTTTCTCCTAGATGATACCATAAGTAATAAGTGAGAAGAAAGATGAAGAGGAAACATATTATGAATACTTGTTATTTATAAAAATTTCATAAACAGTACTTTGGACTTATGTTAGCTGTTTTATTATTAATCATTGTTATATAAAAGGAAACAAATAAATATAGTCTTGTTTTCCTATTTGTAAAGAACACTTGATTTAAAGATAGTTCTAATTAGAAATTATATAACATTTCTGTTTTGTTTTATAGGTCATTTTGTTGTCTACAATTTAGTGATTTTTTTTCCTGTTATTTGTAACACAGGATAAGGAACTCAAATTTCAGAGAGACTTTGGAAAAATGAGCCCAAATCCTTGATAAATTATTGTAGTGCTGATTCCAGGCAAAAATGTATGGGCATGTATGAACTGATATTCAGAAAATTTCTAGAAAATTGGCTTAGAAATGTTCTGATACTTTACATATTTTGCTATTAGAATATAAGAATGTACATATTTTTTCTTTGTTTAGGTCCAGCCAGTTGACCCATCTCTGGTGACGTATTTAAGAACACAGCATGATACTACCTACTCAGTACTAGCCACTAGTCCTCTGATTCATGTTCAGCACCCAGCCACTCATCGTTTTCAGAAGCCAGTCACTGTATTCTTACCCTGTTCTCCACATCCTGATAAAAAGAACCTTTCATCTGAGATAGATCATAAAAGAATACCTAGTGCCACAACAAACAGGATCATACCTTTATATTTCAACAGGTAAGTAAGATCTTAATGTTGCTAACTAATATAATAGTAAACAGAAACTTAAATAGTTAAAAATTATAACCAAATGTCTTAGATATAAATATCAGCATTTAAGTATTATGAAATATATTTAATTTGTAAATAAAATATTGTGGATCTACAATATGTAATAATTTTAGACATACCAGGCCCCAAAATTGTGTTATGCAATATGGTAGATTTGAAAGAAGTACAAGTAATCCCTCCTTTCAAAGAACTTAATGATATTATTAATTACAAAGATACAGTGTGTGCTTCTAATTTCTATACTTGAAAATAGTCTGTTAATGTAGGGAAAAGGTTAATCTGATCTTGTACAAAACAGAAAATATTTTGAAAGACCAAAATACAAACAGCTTCAGATATTTGATTAAAATCATAACTACAATTAATTGAGAACTACCATGTGCCAAATTCATTATGTATATTATCTCATTCCATTTCATTTTATCAGTGAAAAGTCTTAAAATTCCATGATATTAAGATTTTGCAGAAATAATAGCAAAAAGTGGTATGATCTGGGTGTAGGTTCATATATTTCTATTCATAACAATGACTCTGTATGACTATTGATCGTTTGGTTTATGGCTACAAGATTAGAAATTGAGAAGTGGACTTTTTGCTCTCCCCTACTATATTTTCAGTTTACAAAGCTGGTGACAGTAGAATGTTGTGTTGTGGGTGGAAGAAGAAATCAAGTTTTCCATTGCATTAGATAAGTGAAATAATGTAGAAATATCAACATGATCCACTTACATATGTTTGTGTTAGCAAATTCACTGCAGCGAAATTATATATATGTGTGTGTGTATGTGTGTGCATATATATGTGTATATATATATATATATATATATATCCCAAGTGACAATTTAGCAGATCCATGCTCCTGTATGTCATGGTAAAGTGAGACCTACAACCAAAAATATTCTAGAATTTCCAACTTTAAATGCAGCATTCTAATAGATTAACATTTACACTCTCTCAAAATATCCCTTAAAATAACCATGCATATATTTTAAAAAGGGATGAGAAATTAAACGACTCTAAAAATGCATTCAAACTTGTTACTTATGCCCAAATCTATTAAGTATTTCTACCATCTATAAGATGGATGGCAAAGGATTCATAAAAATAACATGTGAATAGCATGTATATTATATGGTAAAATGAAACAGTTCCATTATCTTAGTAGATAACATTTGTTTGACATCTATTTTCTGATTCATATATAAAAATGAAAATTTAAATTTATCCATGTAATATACAAATATAATTTGTGAGGTAATTTGATCATCATTCCTTTGCTCTTCTGGTATATTTTGACAATGCACAGAAACAAAAGGGCAAAATGTAGAGGGAAATTGAAGGCAGCCTATTAAATTATCAGGAATGAAATTCTCACAAGTATAGAGATAGAGATAGAGGCAATAAGAACCCTATTAGAAATGCATGCTGAGACTGTACATCATTTTCATAATCAAGTATATTCAAAGCACAGAAAATCTAGTTAGCACAGGCAGGAGAATGTCACATCTTGGTTAATAGGAATTAAAAAATATAGACATTGAGTGAGGGAACCAAAATAGCAGTGGAGTAAGAGGTTCTGACAACTAACTCCCCAGAGAGAAACTGATGTGAACAGCTGCACACACCTAGTCACCTCGTCACCTTCACAGAGCTCCAGAAGCCAGATGAGACCACAGTGTCCTGTTAGAAGAAAAGTCACCTTGAAGAAACAAAAAGGAAAGAGTTGCTTGTGTCGTTCCTCCCAGCTCCAAGGAGAATGTTGTACAAAGATACTTCCCACCTGGGAGAGGCAGAGAAAACTGAATCCCAGTGCCAGACACACTGAAAAAAAGTCAGTTGAACTTAGCCTGCCAGGTCCTGCTTTAAGAGTGAATATTTGGGGTCTCCACAATGAGGTTGCCTCTGCCCCACTCGCCCAACCACCAGTAGAAAAACTACAGTCGCATGGAGAGGTCATGACAGGGTGCAGTAGGGCTTTGGGACTGCCCCTCAGAGGTCAGATCTGGGCCTACCAAGACGAAACCCAATACATGATAAAGCCCAAAGGCCTCTCCAGCACTGAGACAGTAGTCACAGACTCAGAATCTAGACTGGCCTGGCCTCAGGTGTAGACCTGGGCTCCAGATGTCAGAATTATTCTGACATGTGTCACTTTTGGCCTCTAGTGGGCTTGGTAGACACTCCTGGAACTTTGTAGGGACTTAAAAGCTTGGGATCCTAGCATGACCAATATGGGGCAAGTCTGGGTGGCTTGAGGGCATCCTTGATCACTGTTCTCCAATCTTGGGCAGAGAGCAAGAGATCACAGAAGTGTGTCTCTGGACTCCGTGATAGACTGGTAAACACAATGCTGGGCAGATCTTAAGTTTCCATTCCCACACAGTACGTTGAGACAGAGTCTCTGATCTTTACACACGTACCAGATAGAGACTAGTGCCTTGGTTAGCCAAACTTGTTTTGGTGTATATCACATCAGTCTCTTGCATGCCTGGTGTGGACCCTTAAGATTGCAGACTCAGGTGTGACCCACGCAGGGCCTCAGCAACTGAGAGATTCTCTCTATCACTCCTCCTACAACCTTCGGCAGCCATCAGGAAATCATAGAACTATTTTGGTATTCAGTGCCAGGCTGATAAACCTGGCATTGAGAAGACCCTAACAGTTTCCATCTCCAAGACAATACCCACAGATAGAGCCTCTAAACCTGATTCAGTGCACAGTGGAGAGCCACGATCCAGGTTGATCAGTCTCATACCCAGCCAATACCACTAGTGGCATGGAGCCCACCGCAGCAGCAGATAGGCCATGGCAGGGTAAGACTTGATCCTACCCTGGGGCTACACTGGTCTTTTTTTTTTTTTTTTAAAGATTTATTAACTTATTTGAAAGGCAGAGTTACAGAGGGACGGAGGCAGAGAGAGAGAGAGAGAGAGAGGTCTTCCATCCACTGTTCACTCCGCAAATGGCTGCAGCGGCTCAGCTGGGCTGATCCAAAGCCAGGAGCCAGGAGCATCCTCCAGGTCTCCCACATTAGTGCAGGGGCCGAAGACTTGGGCCATCTTCTACTGCTTTCCCAGGCTACAGAGAGCTGGATCAGAAGGAGCTGGGACTCGAACTGGCACCCATATGGGATGCTGGCACTACAGGCACCAGCTTCAACCACTATGCCACAGCGCTGGCCCCTGCACTAGTCTTATTGGACAGAAGGCTCGGGATGTGACCCAGTACTGAGGCATTCCCAGGAACAGGACAAGGAGTCTGAGCCAACTACAGGCCCAGAAAGAGGCTTGTGGGGGGGATTACCCCTTGTAGGGTCTTTCCCTGTGCATATTCAATATCACATTAACTGCAGATTCAGAACTTATTTGAAATTGGAGAGTACTGTAAGAGTGAATCAATACAACCACCAACAGCAGATCTGGGACAAATCACAGCTTAGGGTGCTGTCAGGTATTGAAATGGCAGAAGGTTCCATAGGTTCAGAGAAAGTAAACAGATTGTTTGGCATTTCTAGAAGGACAGCTGCAAGTGAGACCAGATTATTTAAATAATCTTTTAATTCATAGATGACATCATACACCAATAAGTGTTAAAAGCACTAGAAAAATATGATCTAATCTAAACAGAAAATAGGGTGCCAGAAACCAACCATCTGAGAATTTGAATTTCTAAACATTCAAATGTAGATTTCAAATTAGCTACTTAAAGAAAACTCAACAAAATTCAAGAAACATGATTTAGTATTTAAATATCATATTTAATATTTATAGATTATAATTTTTTTTTGAAAGGCAGAGTGGACAGAGAGAGAGAGAGACAGAGAGAAAGGTATTCCTTTGCCACTTGTTCACCCTCCAATGGCCACCGCGACCGGCACGATGTGGCCAGCGTACCGCGCTGATCCGATGGCAGGAGCCAGGTACTTATCCTGGTCTCCCATGGGGTGCAGGGCCCAAGCACCTGGGCCATCCTCCACTGCACTCCCTGGCCACAGCAGAGAGCTGGCCTGGAAGAGGGGCAACCAGGACAGAATCCGGCACCCCGACCGGGACTAGAACCCGGTGTGCCGGCGCTGCAAGGCGGAGGATTAGCCTAGTGAGCCACGGCGCCAGCCAGATTATAGATTTAATTTTAATAAATCAAAGAGAAGAATCTGATTTTCAAGGCAGGCTATTTGAAACTATACAGTTGAAGGGGAAAAATCAGGAGAATCAAGAAAGCTTATGGGAAATCTGGAATAGCATGAAAAGTACAAATATTCAATTTTGGGGATAAAATTTATGAGGGAATTGGGAAGGACAAAGGTGTAGAATGAAAATAAAAAATGATAATAACAGAAAAATGTTCAAACCTAAGGAAAGATACAACACTCCAGGTATAGGAAAGTCAAAAGTCATCTGTCACATTCAACCCAACCAAGTCTTTCTGAAGACATATTAGAATCAAGCTCTACAAGGCTCAAGGTAAAGATTACTAAAGCAGCAAGAAAAAATAAGCAAATAACACATAAGGGATTCCCAGTTCTCTTGACGGTGGATTTCTCAGCAGAAAACTTACAAACCAGGGAAGAGGGAGACTAAATTTTACATGGTGATAGAAAAAAAAAAAAAACTTACCAAACAAAAATACTGTATCCATAAAAACTGTCCTTCAGATAAAACGGAGAGATAAAGACATTCCCAGAAAAACAAAAGCTGAGAGTATTCGTCACCACCAGATTTGTCTTACAAGAAGCATTATAGGGATTTTTCAAACTTAAATAAGAAATGAAAGCAAGTAAGAAGAAAATATCAGAAGGTAGGAAACTCACATTTAAGAGTAACTATACCTGGCCAGTGCCACAGCTCACTAGGCTAATCCTCCGCCTGCGGCGCCGGCACACCGGGTTCTAGTCCCGGTCGGGGCGCCCGATTCTGTCCTGGTTGCCCCTCTTCCAGGCCAGCTCT